TGCTCGCTCGCTCAGTTGCCGCTCGTCGGTTGGTTTGTACGGCACGTTGACGTCCGAGGTCGCAATGATCGACGTCCCTTCGACCAGCGCCGGCCAAAGTGGCATCTAAAAGCCATCGTGCTCAAAGTTCGTCGCAATAAATAAACACCGCCCTTTCGCATACGTGTCGTACGTCTTCACTCATTTAACACCCCCTCCTACAACCACGTTAACCAATTTAGCCATCGACCCAAGTAAGTCGCAATTTAACACCCCATTTCACAACCACGTTAACCAATTTAGCCATCGACCCAAGTAAGTCGCACTTTAACACCCCGTTAACGAATTATATGCTCCGCATCCTCCTCAGTGTTCCCTCGAGGGAAGCTGCGGGCAATTTTTTTTCACGAACTGCCTATAAAGCGAGTGCAATGCACGGATTATAGTGTACGCGGCTGCGCTAAGCAACCTGTTCGCGATCGCACAACGTTTCCGGTTGACAACTCTGTTCATTGCGATGCAAACGTAGCGTACGTGCATCCCAGCCCCGCTGGACGAGTGTCGTTCGTAGAAGTTCGTGCTATCGGCGTGATAGATTTATAGTAACGCGCAGACGATAAACATCGAAATAAGAGTGCGCGTCTGTCTAGCATTAGCGTCGCGTAAAACCATATAGTTTTCTAAAATTAACTAGATTGATTGATATGTGGGGTTTAACGTCCCAAAACCAACATATGATTATTATGAGAGACGCCGTAGTGGAGGGCTCCGGAAATACCGACCACCTGGGGTTCTTTAACATGCACCCAAATCTGAGCACACGGGCCTACAACATTTCCGCCTCCATCGGAAATGCAGCCGCCGCAGCTGGGATTCAAACCCGCGACCTGTAAAATTAACTAAAAGGGACTGTGGCGCTGCGATCGTTCAACTTTTATGGTAATGATGGTACACACATTTACCTAGTATTCGTGCTTGCCGCATCTTGGAACGCGCTGTTGCTTTGTTTATTGCTGTGTTTTGGTGTAGTTTCGAATAAAAGGACAAACCGTTCTGAACTTCGTGACCCGATTTGTAAGGCCGAGCCTAAAAGGTTACCGCGGTGAAGCGTCCCTGCGAAGCCTTCGCTGATTGTCTCTCGTGAAAAAGAAGCTTCAAGCCACTCGAGGCCAAACGGAGCCGAAGTAACGAAGACTGGACAAATTTGTGTACTACCCATAATTTCCCATGCTTGCTTAAGCGCTGTGCGTTGAAACTCCCATAGACACTAGCGGCAGAGTTCTCTCTGGCGTATCTACAAGAAACTCTATAAATACAACTATGACCTCAGATGTTGCGGGCGCGCGGCGTCCCGCCGCGCCCGCAATCTCGTAGGCCATGATAAAACTTCTGTTTTTATATAACACCCATCAATACCATATATAACGAAACTGGCGACACACATCGGTGCAGCAGTCCGGCTCACTGAGCACGATGGTGACATGCAGCCTCCGTAAAGGAGCACAGATATTTTACAGCTTTTTTTTACTGGCGGGGGGGGGGGGGCACCCAAGACAATTGTGAGTTGTTTCAGGGCAGCAGGGAAGCTAGGAAGCGTTCCGTTTTGATTACGCTTGATCTTGGAGGGGGGAGGGGGTGCAAATAGAAAGCAGCCTGCAGCCGAAAATGTCATTGAAGGGTGAAGCTCCAGCCCCCCCCCCCTCCATACCCCCCGCTTGCGTCACCCCGATTCAGATTTTATCCATTACACTACAGGCAAAAACAACAAATTCTGTCCCCTATACCACTTCAAGCGACACCTGATAAGAATGCACGTCAGTCTACCTATCTGCTTATCTACCCATCAAAGCGTTGCGGGTGATTATGCAAACCCGTGGCCCACGGCACACGCTCGCACGGGTAGAGAACAGGGGGGGGGGGGGGGGAGGAGCTGCCTTTCTTTTATTTCATTTTCGTTTTATTAATTTCTTTATCTGCTCTTCGCGTTTTGAATTTTCCGGTAACTGCCGCAAGAGGCCCCTAACCCAGCGCAGCTTGCATAGCGTTCCCGCTTTCTTGCCGATGTTGTTTTTCCGTTTCGGTGCAGTCGCCGCGAAGCTGCCTCGCTGCAGTTTTCGTACGCCTACCCTCACTCACCCTCCGCCCTTTCCCTTTTACAACGATCGCGCTGGATGCTGCCTTCGTTTCCCACCTGCTGTGAGCCAACAGCTGCACGCTGCTGCTGCTTGCTCGTTTTCGAGCCGCTGCTGCTGCTGCTGCTGTAGTTGCTGCCAGCATTGCTTCTGCGTATGCTACGCGTTCTTTTTCCCGGATCCTCCACACGAGCCGATCCTTATCGAAATAGATTTAGGAAGCCCATAAAACGTCTCCAGCTAGATGTCTTGCAGACCACTTCGCCAATGTTGCCTTTTTTTATTGGCCGCTTTGTGCCCATACAGCCCGCCAATATCACCGAGGCCGACTACAGACGATCGAAAGGTGTAAGGGCGTGGTGTTCGTAGATAAAAACTAGAAGAACATGATTGATTTGTGGGGTTTAACGTCCCAAAACCACCATATGATTATGAGAGACGCCGTAGTGGAGGGCTCCGGAAGTTTTGACCACCTGGGGTTCTTTAACGTGCACCCAAATCTGAGTACACGGGCCTACAACATTTCCGCCTCCATCGGAAATGCAGCCGCCACAGCCGGGATTCGAACCCGCGACCTGCGGATCAGCAGCCGAGTACCTTAGCCACTAGACCACCGTGGCGGGGCAAAAACTAGAAGAACAGACTTGGATAGTCTATAGGCCTAAATATGTGTCTAGACTTTGTGTCTGTATAGACTGTACATGCATAGTCTGTCAATGTCCCGAAGGCCGACCAGTCGATCAATAAAGGTGTGAGGGCGTGGCTTTAATACATAAAACCCCTAGGAAAAGGAGGCTTGGATAGTCTTTTAAAAAGACCAGTGCAGGCTTCGTACCTGCACAGTCCGCCAATATCACATAGAACGACTAGTCGATAAAAAAAGGCTTAAAGGCGTTGCTTGTGTTTGTAGATAAACCCTTTAGAAAAACTGGTTTGCCTAGTCCTCAAGGACGTCTATACACTCGTTACAAAATGTTCACCAGACGCAGATACTTTGATTGCTCTGTTTTTACGTAATATGGCATACTAAACGTAATAAACTTATAGACAAGAGACGGCAACGTTTTTTTTGGCTTAGTATAGTTGGATGTGAAGTATCTAACTTGATCAAACCCTGATGTTGTTTAGTAGTATGTCAACATTCCAAGACAAAAATTGACCAAGGATGGTTAATGACGCAAGTTCACATAAGCAATCTTATCTAAATGTATCTGGACAATATTAGAACTGTCTGTTAGCGTGCGCGGACCACAAAAAGGACAAAACAGCGGGAAGTTTTAATGACTCGCTTTGTTTTCGTTAGACACAAGATTATTACGAACGAACATATAATCAAGCCATACCACACAAACACGCACACGGTGCGAAGGACAGGGTCAGAAGGTTGGCACTGCGAAAGTTTAACTATAGATGACCAACAAGCCCCTAGCCACCATAATAAACCTGTGTCATGGACCAGTAGAACTTGAAATATTTTATTCGTCTCAAACTACTTAGCTCCGCTAGCGTTTCCGTATCGCCTTTGATATATATAGCTAGTTTGCCGCTGTCAGAGAGGCAATAGGTCGTTGATAAGTGTACAGGTGGAAGTGTGCGACCACGTAGACCAAATCCTTGGTAAAATGCACTACTATTGAGCAGCGTGCAATCGCCTTGCATGAGCGGCTGTTACAGAACAAATCGGTAATGAAAAGACCTTGGTTTGTCTCTATGTGGCTTAATGCTACGTCAAAACTTTATGGTCTATAGGTGTGTCAAAAGTTGATTGCATGATGCTCTGTCACAATTTAGTGACTCATTTCTGTGTCACGACACTCCCACATCAAAGAACATTTCCAATTCGTTAACAAAAAACATTCTGATTAATGTCACATCTCTTGTCGAGCCATAGTGCATTCCGATAATATATTGCCAAAGGAAGTGGCAAAAACACATATTAGCGCATCCAAGAAGCGCATCCAACATCTCACTCATGTATACGACCAAATCCAGGCTTAGTTGACCGAAAAGAACCTTAATTCGATGGCCCAGAGAACTTACGAAAGCGTTTAGAATGTCAAAAATAACTGAAGTGATTGTGTCAGTCATAGTTCGGTAGTGTCGCCCAAGAATATAAATTGCTAGACATGACGTAGTAATCAATATTTATTGTTTGGGGTTATGGTGGACAGTGCACCTGCGCATGCCGGCTGTACAATGTACGTACAGTTATTGAGAATCGAAGCGGGGCAATTTAGGGTTACAGGTAATACTTTTTCCCACCATCTTCAGCTCCACTCATATCGGTTTTTTAGATCAGAGCCAACGTCATCTTTAGAGACCAGATTCATCGTGAAGTGATTATCTCGAGCAATTCCGTAACCAGTCGTTAGGCTAACAATTCGATGTCGCGTTCGAATCTGTGAGTACTGTAAGTACGCAGATTTTTTTTTTTTACCATGTATTTACGAGCTAGCGCTTGCCCTGTACTGTGCGTCTTCTTGTACATATCGCATACCTAACTCGCGCAACGCAAATCATGAACCAACTAGCCCAGCAACTAATTCTCTGAAGGGCCTTGTAGTTCAGATCAGTCCTTTAATTAACACCACATGTATGATGCCAAGCATGAAAATGCCATTGGAAGGCAAGTTTGCATCCAATGCATGCAGTGTTCAATGAAGAATTGAATGGAGTTTGAAAAAAAAAAAAAAACAGGATGGCACCGATGAAAAAAAAAAAAGACACTAGTCACAGATGTGGTGGGTGCGGTGGTTATGGGGACGTGGTGGTTGTCCTTAATGTCTAATCTTCACCATGCACCTTGCCGTCCAAGCAGCGGAGTTCGTACACACATATATGTGCTTAGCATCGACCAGCCCGCTTTCGAAAGAGACGAGAAGTGCTCACCCATAGATGGCGTCCTTGTCTCGCTTGTGGACGTCCGGCACGGCGCCCATCACGTGATTGGCGGCTCCGGCGGCTCCGTGATTGGTGTACATGGCGGCCGCAGCGTTCATGGGGTGCGGGCTGTGCGCCAGCTGTTGCATGCGGCCGTGGTGGTCGTAGCCCCCCAGGGGTCCCTCCAGGGCCGTGCCTCCGCCGCCAGCGCCGCCGCCGTAGTGGGGCACCGGGTCATCGTACTGCGCATGCGCATGAGGACAGTCAGCGTCACGAGAAAGCCAAGAAAGCATAACCAACAGCCAGACCAAACAATCGCTCAAAGGCAGAATCTATAGCTGGTCATCCACCGCTTTTCGTCGACGTACTGCCACGCTCTCTCTCTCTCTCTCTTGGCTATTTCTTTAACATTTCGTTAGACAGCCCACCTTACGTCACGCTATCAACTTCAGACACGTCACATCGCTCAGTCATCAACTGCAAGTTACCTGTATTCGAACACGAACCGCAACATTTCAAGCCTCGTTTTCTTCCTCGCGCTGTCAAGAGACTGGAACAACTTGGACCGCTGTGTTGTTGCCGTTCTGGCGACACACTGCGCACATACCGGCGCAGCCTGCGTGACTCGGACGCATGCTGCTACGCGCGTAAGATAAGGGGACAGCGCCACCGCAGTTTCACCGGAGGCTGCCGTCACCACAGGTGGCTATAAGAGCCGAGCTGCCAGGCTCGCTTTTCCGATTTTTTTTTTTATCTAACCGTTCAAGCGCAGCATCGGCATGCTTGCCCTGCTGCTACTTCCACGTTAATAAACGATCGTTACGTTTTACGTTGGGATCCGTCTTTCGTCGACTCGGCATCCCACAACCGTAATCGGTAATACAGAATTTCCGCGCATTGTGGAAACGTGTATCACACCATCACACGTACTTTCACGAGGAAAAAAAGAATGAGCTAACCAACGGTTATGCAATACTCCAAACGGGGTATTTAAGGTGTTAAAATAAAAGGAAGTTTAAATTACGGTTTCTTTATCCGTCATTTTATTAAATCGAAAGCCATAGACGCAATCGACACCGACGCACTGAATGCCTGACGTGGAAAGCGTAGAGCAAGGTGGCGCCCTTTGGGACCCAAATATAAAACACCGCACTCACATACCACACCAGCGAATCACGCACCGTAGGAGTGCTAACTCCCGTTCCGCCGGCAAAAAAAAACAAAAAAAAAACAAGACACCATAAAAGAACGTCTCGCACAAACACCCGCCTGGTGCAATAACTTCCACCTCTAGATGAGGTCACGCTTAGGGCTGCATGACGTCAATCAGCGGCTTCAACCCCCTTTATACCCCACTACGTCTCGGTCGTCCCTGATGGATTCGACAGTCTTGGCTCGGTTCCAACTCCAGGGTGCGAGAGGAGGAGGAGGAGGGGTCGACTGAACGCGCTAGGCTGAAAATTCGCGCCACGCCGCAGCAGAAGCAGCGGGAGGAGCCGAGAAGAGGACGGTGTATAAGTAATAACCACGAGTGGTTCTCGGGAGGATAAGAAAGCGTAGGAGGGTTTCCAGTGGGCCGAATATAAACAGTCGCCTTGGGAGGGCCCTCGAGAAAGAAGCAGTTTAGTTTATACACCACGAGCGGAGCGGGGTCAAGAAGCGTCGAAACACAGGGCAAGCGAGGAAGCGCCAGCACGAAGAGAAGCCCGCGCCGCGTATAGTCCCGGCGCTTTTAAACGGCCTCCACTTCAAAACTCAAACGTCGCGTCCTCAACGCCACAGGCAAGAGAACTCCACAAACCGACGCATGGGCACTGCCGGCGCTGTTGCTGCCTTCTCGAAACAACGCGGCTCTTCACGAGGTCGAAGATCCTAAACATGGAATGCATCTTGGCATTCCAATTGGTCCGGTTCGCGATGCAAAACACTGTCTGATGGTTGGTGGTTCGTTAGCCGGTTGGCTCCTGGGGCGAGTGTTACTAGTGCTGGAAACGTCGCCCGACAAACACTCACCACTTCTTGTACCCCAACACGTACCACAGTGGTTGATTGATTGATTGATTGATAAGTGGGGTTTAACGTACCGAAACAGCCATATGATTATGAGAGACGCCCGGTGTGGAAGGCTCCGGATATTTCGACCACCTGAGCTTCTTTAAAAACGTGCACCCAAATCTGAGCACACGGGCCTACAGCTTTTTCGCCTCCATCGAAAATGCAGCCGCCGCAGCCGCGATTCGATCACGCGACCTGCAAGTCAGCAGCCGAGTACCTTAGCCTTCAGACTACCCCGGCGGGGCCGTACCACAATGAAACTACAGCGCACGGAGAGGGACAGGAAACAAGACTAGACGTGATGAAGTGCTGCAGTTCTGTCTCGTCTTTTGAGCTGTACTTTTCCATGTGCTTTTCAAGGCGGATCTGTATAACCGTCTGCAAAATAAGTCGGGAAGCGAGAGCTACGTCCGCAACCTGATAAAGCTGCATCGCCGCGCCATCCGACGTGGTGAGTGCGCATGCGCGTCCTCTCACTTTCGCATCCTTATCTTTTTAATGTCTTGCAGCGGACTAAGTGATTGTACGTAGCGTTTCGCTCTAGACGCCACTTTCTTCAATCCGTGGCGTGCTCAATTTGACGGGGGCACCATGGCGGTACGCGGCTCGCTCCAAGCCCAAACTCCATAAGCGCGAAAATGCACGCGACAGCGACGAGCGACGCGACGTAGATCGTCTTCGCGCGATCATTCGCTAGCGCAGGCAAACCTCATTCACGCGACGGCTTCGGCGAGCGAATTCCACTGTTGCTGGCATGAGGCCGTCTACTCGCACCAAGAAAACCACGTAGCGAGCGGTTTCCAATTTCAAAATAAGATATATTGTTGTGTAATGGAACGGAAAGTGTTTATTATTGCCTTGCAGCATTTTTTTATATGCGCATGCGTAATAAACATTGCGTTATTTCTTGTTGCGCATACGTGACTCGGGCAGGGTAACGTGCACCTATGTAGTCTTCGTCTTTTCCGGTTTTTCGCTATTGGCTGCTTGAGCCCAGCACTTCCGGACGATGAGCGACGGTTTCCAAATCTGGAGAACCGAGCGATCGCGCGAAAACGAGCACGCGACACGTCGCGCGAACGCCCTGTTTCGTCGCTCATAGCGTCGCTCGTCGCTGTCGCGTGCATTTTCGCGCTTATGGAGTTTGGGCTTCACAGACAAGGCAGATTATCGCTAGAGTTACAAACTCCTTTCGAAAAAAATTAAGCTGGGGACCAATGATAGGCCGTTGCGAGAATCATGGCACTGCTTTTTTTTTTTTTTTTGCATCCATTATAGGGCTTGTTTACGCAGGGGGAGGGGGGTGCGTTACGGTTACTCTTATCACCCCCTCCCCCTCTAATGGAGGACACTATACGGACGCCTATGACATCTTTTCATGCAACGTGTTCCATCCCGCATGATGAAACATTACCAGCTTACCAGTGGCACGCACGGCAATTAATGTTCAAAATTTATGACACCACGGAAACTTGCCGAGGCTTCACACTGCCGATCATTTTTCTTCTTTCTCATCCCTTACTTCCTAATACGTCGAGTCCTTTCTCGCTGTGAGAGTGGCCTTTTAGGGACTATTGTAGAAGCGCAACTTCGTTACCAGAGATTTATCCTCCTTTCATCTTTACCGATCACTTGCCGGGAGTTTTATTCTCACTCCATTGTACGTCGCCGTACTTGAACAAAACAAAAAGGGCATCAGAGACCCGGATCTACATATCTGTCCGAGGTCAACCTTAGTATCCGTTTGATTGTCTCCGTAGAATACAATCGAAGTTATAGGGCATAAGGTCGCACTATTGTGGACGTATCGGAAGTCCTGGCCGCTACGACGCTGCGCTGCATGGCATAAGGTCGTCGGTTCGGCTTCTACCTGCAGTCACGTTTCGATATGAGTAAAATCAGAAACAAAAAAAAAGAGGAAGAAAACACTCGTGCTTTTACATATATAGCCCCACACTAGAAATATCGCAGGTGGTTGGAATGTGTTTGGTGTTGCCCGCTAAACGCCATGTCTCATAATCTTATCGCGGTAATGACGCATAAGAATACAAAATTTTCGTTATCTTAGTCAACGCGTCAGATTACAATGCGTCATATGCACCGAGACATATTAAAGCTTTGTATTAACTTTATTACTTTTGCGGAACCCCATCGAAGTTTGGCTATAGACGATCACGTTGTGATGTACGGAGACAGACGACAAAATTCGCAGACGACCGGCTCGATAAAACTTCTAATACAAAGTCAATTTCTTATCCTAGCTTGTGCAGACGTCACAGGGGATCGTGTTTTCCAAATAAATAAAAATAAATAGAAATGCGGCGCCACAAGAACAAATCTGTACCTACACGCTGACGATTTTTTTTTCACGTGCTTGATATGAAGGCTGCCTAAACCTATACAGTTTCTCGTAAGACTGGGAATCTGACCTCGTGCCTCGCTCGACACACACGAGAACATTAGATCATGCACACGCAAAAGTAAAAAAAAAAAAGTTTCCTGCGGACGACGCATCGGGTGAACTATAAACCAGGCAAAACAGCAGCGACAGTTAGTTCTCGTGGAGAAAATGCAGCCATGCAGCTTGAACAGTTATACATATATATATAGCAAGTTTAGCAGACGATGTGTGGATGACGTCAGCATCATCAAGCAGCGGATGCGTAAAGCCGATTGAATTAAGCTTGCGCGCCCACCTGCATACCAGGATACGACATGACTGTACGCCTGCAGCCTGCGTACCACGACTAAGCTATACGCACTGCACAGCCGCATTGACGTTTCCCATATTCCGAGAAAAACACTGCAGCGATGTACGAGTCATCGGAGCTGCTATATCAGGAATGAGAAGACTACGGTAGCGACGAGAACGCCCACATTGTACAGCTGAAGCGATGCTGTCAAGAGCCCATAAACAACGTCTATTTTACGCAGGAGTTCCGCCACATTGGGATGTTAACCTTTGTGTTTCGAGCGCTCAAAACTAAACGAACATTGTTACACGATAGATGAATGTGCCTACATGAAAACGGTTCGGTTGGTGCATGCTATGTTTCATGTGCTGTTAATTCGCGTCGCGATTTACAAAAAAAAAAAACAAGAAAACATCGGTTCAACTGCCCAAGATGGCGGCGCCCAGATGTCTTACGGGAAACAGCCTTTACAAAGAAGGACACGGTATTTTTTC